AGAAAAAAAAGAAACAAACAAACAAACACATTTTTGAATAAATATATAAGTGTAAATAAATAAATAAACAAATAAATAAATATGCAGTAAAACTTACTGCACAAAAGAGTTCATGAGAGCGACCAGTTCATCCATGCTGAGGGCTGGGTCCGTGAACCGGTTCTGCAGGGATTCGGAACATCGAGTCAGGCACACCTGGCTAGCCATGCTGGACACGTTGACCACTCTGAGGACACAGGCAGAGGTCAGTGGGGAGAACATCAGAGCCTCGCACTTTCGAGAAAAAACGTGAGGCATCGTGGTGAAATTAGGAGCTCGTCAAAATTACGAAATCCGAGAAATCGGCATTTTTTCTGGCCGTTCGGCAATTTTTTTAATATTTTCTTTTGTTGTGGCTCAACACCTTTCTTTGTCTATTTAAAAGCACATTTCTGTGTTGATATTACTGAAAAAACATTGATTACAGGCACCCAAAAAAATTTTTCATTTTCATTTTTCAAGCACTCTCAAGCTATGGAAGTTACCAAAATTTGGCGGCCATTTTCCCATTAATTTTACCTCTGAAACCAGGCAACCCTCCCCTCCTTCAGTCGCAAATATCAAGACTTCTATTCAACATAGATGGATTTTTTTCCACCAAAAGCAAGGCAAATGAACAGGTTTAAGGGTGATACCAATAACCTCATTTGCCCCAAAATTGCCGAGTGGCTGATTCCATCACGTAGTGCCACAAACTATCGAAGCCGCGCACTATCAGAGCAGCGCCCTTTTTATGATATCGGTACAATTAGATTGCCAATTACTAAAGCAGTACCATCAAACAATTTAAGTACCCTCAGCGTTTTACTGGGCTTGGGACCGGATATCAGTTAGCTTCTGTATTGAACGACTAGGCTTTTCAGGTATAAAACATATCTACAGGACAGGGGCGATCTTTCAAGTGTAGTGTTGGGGCAGCATTTACTTGCTCTTTCAGGATAAAAAGTGAATTTGTGAGACTTGTCTTTCTGCGTATAATATTTGCTTGTTACACATTCTCCCTTCTTTCTTGGTAGTGCCTTTCTGTTTGGTCTGTGTCTTTAGTTTCAGTTTAGAAATGGTCCGGAAGTCGCTTAACGTCTCCAGAAAGACGAACATAATGTGTGGGTGGGGGCTATAGAGAGACATTTTATCAAGGGGACTGTCACCATTGGATGGAATCATCAATCTAATTGTATCGATATGGTCAAAAAGTGCGCGGCTCTGAGAGCTTCCCGGTCAGTGATACGTCACACTCTCCAATATACGGTCGGTTTTAAGGACAAGCGGGCTAAACCAGATTTCAAGGGTTTCCAAAAATCTTCACCGGCACCAAAAGTGGGTATTTTCCTACCTACAGGAGAAGTGTAGTTTCATTGGTGTGTATATTTGTTTGGTTATAGAGAAAACTCTCCTTGTCTTTTAAAGAACTGAACAAACTTTCCATTTTCTCAAAACAGCATTTTTCGGGATAGCCCCCTTGTGCTTAAAAGCGACCATACAATGAGTTTTTAATATCCCTATATGAAATCAGTCAAGTGAAAACCCAACTTAGTTATTCATAAATTATTGCATATTGTTAAAGTTAGTCAAGTTAAGAACAAGCCATGTCCATTACCAGAAGTCACAGCAGAAAATTTCAAACATATCTGCAAAATATCAAATTATGGATAAAAACGGGGGGGGCATGCCTCCCTGTAACCCCCCAGATTTTTTTACTTGGTCCAGAGGCTCAAAACATTTTGATTGGTCTATCTCTGTCGGAGACGTCTACGGATAGGTACTGTGACCAAATATCGTGTATACGTTAGTAGAGAATCTTTGCCCTGATAGTACAATGTTATTATGACATTTGAGAGCGCCCTTCTTCTAGCGCGTGACGTCCCGTGATATGAGCGTAGCGTAAACCAAAGAGGAAGTGGAATATATTGGTAGTAGAGAATCTTTGCCGTGATACAATGATGTTATGATGACATTTGAGCGCGCCCTTCTTCTAGCGCGTGACGGCCCGTGATACGAGCGTAAACCAAAGAGGAAGTGGAATATCTTGGTAGTAGAGAATCTTTGCCTACCTGGCGTGTGGCCGGAGCAGGGGAGACAACACGGTACACACGTCCAGGGGGGCGAAAAAGTTGACCTTGCACGTGCCCTCGACCTCCTCCGCGAAACTGAAGCCAGCATCTTTCTGTCGGAGAAGTCGAGAACAATCATGGCCTTATTAATACAAGAAAAATGTTTCTGAAAAGTATTTTTCTGCCTTTATCAGCTCATTATAATTTATATAAGGCCTAAGCAAGGTTGTGGGCTCTCGTGGCATAGAGGTTAAGGTGTTGGCCTCTCATTCAAAGGTCCCGGGTTCGAATCCGGGTAGCGACCGAAAAATTTTCTTCTCTAAAATTGTCCCCTTTCACCTCCTTCCCTGCTCTCTAGCAATGTTCTGTTGTCTGCTTTCATTTCCACTTTCTGCCCCCACCCCCTCACCTCCTT